GTGTTATTAGCACCGTGAATGGTTCGTAGTAGGGGATACAAACGATCGAGAGAGGGACAGGTCCCAAGTCTCTGATGGAAGGGTCGAAAGGAAGTCGAGAGCTTGGTAGTAGCTTGACTATGTGTGCGTGTTGCCTTGTTTTCTTTCTTTTTTCTTAGCTGGAGGAAGCGCATTCCCTTTTATAGACGAAGGGGACGGCTTTACAAGGGCTAGGACCTAGAATCCGTGCTCTACCTAGCCTCCTTACTCATTCTGATGGGTGCGAAAGGAAGATAAGCGCCTACAATACTGTCGATGCTTCTGTAGAATGTCAGGATGGTTACAGAATAGTGCCTGCGTGAGGGTATGAAATTTGGAGTCTGATGGTTTTGACTTATGAACCTCGCCCAGCCTTGCTCCGCACGCCTTCCGGCTCTATGAGTCTCTGTTGGAGGGACGCGGAGTCGATGTCCGGAGTAGCGCTGTGGGCAAGGTCCTGCGTTTTGGTGGACCCGAGGGGTCGGGAAGCGGGCGCCGCTCCCTTGGGTCCATAATGTGGTGATGGCATGTCCGTCATTTGTGGAGATTACAAATCCTTTTCTGGAGTGTAGTGGTTGTCATGTATCTTCATCGGGTCCTGTGTCCCAGAGCTGAAGGCGGCGCCTACAACTCTATAGGGCGATGAGTACGTGCCTGCAATACCTTTTGGGCTCTGCGGCGCCTGGGAGGGTCTAAAGCACCTGTCCAGTCGTTCCCTAGCAGTACCTTTCCTACCGGGGCGCAGGGTATGGTCCTTGAAGCCGTGGTTGACCCGAACGTCTTGTCTTGCACTGTACCCATCATCATGAGGGAACGGGAGAGAAGTTATCAGGTAAGATAAAGTCAGCCTTTGGACATCGATCGGGGCGAGGTTCGTCCTCGGTCGTTGGGCGAGGCGGAGCCCAGTCCTTATCCTTTGGTCGTGACCGAACCCACCCCTCGGGGGTCGGGCGAGGCGTAGTGTATCCCTCAGCCCTCGGGCGAGGCGGAGACTAGCCCTCAGCCCTCGGGCGAGGCGGGGCTGGCCCAAAGGCGTCGGGCGAGACGGAGGCCGGCCCTTTGCCCTCAGGCGAGGCGGGGCTGGCTCAAAGGCATCGGGCGAGACGGAGGCCAGCCCTTTGACCTCGGGGCCCTTTGCCCTCGGGTGAGGCGGGGTTGGTCCAAAGGCGTCGGGCGAGACGGAACCTAACTTTCGTCTTTCGGGCAAGGAACGCAGCAGCGCCCTTGTTCGTCCAGAAGTTCTTAACGTTCGATGGTTATTGGTTCCACCTCCTGGGGTACCCTGGTATTAGGTCTCCGACATTTATGTTCTCTCTTAATTTGTCTTAAAATTCCTAGAATGCACTATACTACAGGACAGAGGGAGTATGTCCTAATTAGTGAGAAGCAAGGTGGTCTTTTTTGCAAACTCCTTATTTTGTGTGAAAATCGTTTGGATTCCTTATATTTTAGGATTGAATGAACAGTATTACAGAGTTGGCAATTACCACTTCTTTTTTAGTTTCATCCTTGAACGTATTTAATGCAAAGATTTGGTGACGCTAACCTGTGATTGATCGTACACCAAGTGAGATTAGTGTTTATGATACGATAACGAGAGGCCCGGCCCGAAGAGCCTCTGCATAAGAGACAAAGAACAAATTGATATGTTGCAAAAGCGTGGGGTGTATGTTGTGCAGAAAAGAAACGATGCCTAATTCCCATAAAAGGATCGGACACACTATTGCAAAAATGATTTTTTAAGAAATGTTTTCATTTTTGGTCACATGTGACTATTAAAATGCATCGCTAAAAATGGTTTTTGAGTTAGCATGACTCTGCAAATTGAATATTAGAGGTGCTTAGCTTTTCACATCGCCTCTAGAAATGTCTCATTTTAAAAGATGGCTGGAAAACCGAATTGCGTCTACAAATTTCATTTTTAGAGGCGTCTAGGCTTTCTAGCCGTCTTAAAGGGAAACATTTTTAAAATTACTATAACTTTATAGTTGACGACTTTTACATTTGAAATTATTTAAGACCCAAAAATTTTGTTTTAAAATTTCATATTCTCATGTTTTATTTGTCTATTTTTTTATACTTGTTAATTATTCATTGCCAACATCATGTACTTGACATCCCTCATTCGTGCCTTTTAATACTCCCTCCGCCCAAAAAAAATACAATTCTCGCTTTTCGAGGTGGAAAACAATTTGAATTTTGACTAAAGTTATATAAAAAGATATAAAAAATCATGATACAAAATAAGTACCATTATATTAGTTATAGAATGTATTTTCATAATATATTTATTTACAGATATAAATGCTAATACTATTTACTATAAACTTGGTCAAACTTGAGTTAGGCTAACTGACATGGTTATAGACGGAGAGGGTACTTAATTCATGTATGACACTGGTTGTCTACTAGTTGCTAACCACAATAACACCTCGAGGTGCATGAACCCTGATAAACTAGGAATCTACTTTACATGTGTACAAAAAAGAATAGAGACCATGTGATAGTTGCAGCTCCATTTGAGGGAGCTTATTTGTAATATTATTATTACATATAACCTTTGGGATTCTTTAGCAAAATGCTCGAACCAGCCTAAACGGGCAGCCGTGCTCCCTTCTCCTAGCAAGAGAGCTCATTTGCTTGAGAGAGAGAGAGAGAGAGAGAGAGAGAGAGAGAGCTAGAGTTAGGAAATGAGAGAGTGCTAGAGTTACGAAATGAGAGTGTTTGACATACCAAATCCACTACTAAACGAGAGATTTGTGGGGAATTGAGAATCTTCCCATATTTGCTGACTCCTACCTTATATATTATTTTATCTCATAGTGGATTGCTCGTCATCGCTCGTGAGTCGTAATTTTCTCTTCTAGGGGTTTTCACGTTAATCTTCATCTTCACTCTTGCTTGATTTGTCGGTAGTTTGCTTGTAATACTTGGAGTGGTGCTTGAGTCATTTGATATGTTGATGACATCATATTTAAAGTGGATCTCATAAACATTGGGCCTAAAATGAGCTAAACCAAATTGAATTGTGCCCTAAAATGGGTTTTGACCAAAACTAAAAATTGTCCTCAAAGCTAAACGTATATCGCTTAGGGCTTTCTAATCAACTCATAGACACAATGATCACTTGGATCACTTTGATAACCTATAGCGATCAAATATCTCACAACATTTTGTCATGTGATTTTTCCAAGTTGTCGACCATACGGCAACTACCTATGCATTGACTTGTCACATTTTTTTTGCTCTAGAGAGTTACGTTTTGTGGAGCATCAAAATTGTTTGTGATGTGCTTCATGACGCCTGTGACGAAAGAAGCCCCATTTTAATGACAAAACCTAAATGTCATATAAGAGTGCACAGTGTCACTAGGCTCCCACGTATTGGCATGAAGATAACTGGCCGATATATACCCAGGCTTTGCTAGCGCCCGGACGGGGCATCCGAACGCTCGCACCTACAGTTTGTTTCCCGCCACGTTTCGCGTGCCCACGTGCGGCGTACTGCCCCGAACGCCACCAGCATCGAGAAGAGGGGGAGGGGGAAGCGGATGCCGAGCCAGTGCCGGGAGAAGGAGGAGAAATCGAGGAGAGAGATGTAACATTCGATCTACTTTTGAAATATCCAGACGCAACACTTGCAACATATGTCTAAAGACAGTTGAAACACTTGAAACATGCATCAGAAACACTTGAAAAACACTTTGAAAACCATTGTAAAATATATGTAATATCCAGATAAAACACTTGTAACATATGCAACATCCAAATAAACACACTTACAACATACGTCGGAAAAAAAAGATGAAACATTGGGAACAGAAGTTTGCAACATACATGTATAACCATTAGAACATATGCAACATCCCGATATATTTTTGCAACATTCACATGAAACACTTGCAACATACCTATGAAACATCTGAAACACTTAGAACATAGACTTGCAACATGCATTTTCACACTTCTTCCGTACAATGCCACGCAGAGCAAGGGGACGGCCGATTCCGACCAGTCGGCAGCCGAGGATGGTGGTGCAGCCTGGCAGCGGCTAGTTTCGCCTATGCTTGGCCTGGGCCTGGCCAGCGACGACCCCCTCTCCTGGCCACTTGGCCTAGGCACGGCGAAGGACGGAGCACGGTATGATGCGGCGGGGGACGAGGCGCCGCTGCAATCATCGAGCACGCGCATGGAGCTTGGAGGCGGAGGGCGAGGTGCCAGCGACTGGGCAGCAGCTACAGTCGGTGGGGTAGCTGGCAGCGTACCTCGCGTGGAGGATTTCTCCTCTCCGCGGGGGACGGAGGTGCCGCGAGGATGGGAGGCGCCGCGGGGGATGGTGGCGGCGCGGGAGGGAGGCGGCGGCGTGGTGGATTGGGACGGTCGGATGGCCACACGGCCGTGACGAACGAGCGCGGAGTGGGTGAAATGAGCTTCCGTCGGAAGATTTGATTTTTTTTTTCGAGTCGGGACGGACTGAGGGATGGAGGGATACCGATATATACCGGCATCTTGGCACGTTCGATTTGGTGCACCTCGCAAGAATCGCCTCGTGCGTTGCGTGTATAGTAGCAGCTTTCCCGAACAGAAGACGCCATGCCCGTCCCAATTACCGAATCCGCGGGAGGCCGGAGCGCGACGTTCCAACCAAATCCGAGCACCCGGGCTGCCGAGCAGACGCGGCGCGCTCCTCGTCACTCGACACCCGGCGCCAGGATTCCATGCGCGCTCGGCCGCTCGCGTATAGAAGCGACGCGAAGGCGCGACGAGTTCCTCGTGGCAATTATCCTCCCCAGTCCTCACGAGCAACACCTGCACCATCCAGTCCTCTCGCCTCTCTTCTTACACAAACGCCGATCGAGTTGTTGTGTGTGTGTTCTTAGCCGGGAGAGCCAAGAACACACGGCGGCCGGTGAGCACCACAAGAGCGGAAAGCTGCCCGTTCGACCTCGAGGCGGTGAGTGTGCGCAGATCATTCATTGATCGATGGCTCTGGAAGCGGAGACGGTGTCGCGGCGGCCGTTCCTGGCCGCGGGCGGCGGCGACGGAGAGCTTTCGGCTGGGACGACAGTGCCGGTGCTCCTCGCCACGGAGAAGGACCGGCCGGTGGACGAGGTGATCTGGGGCAACGAGAAGCGGATGAAGCGGGAGCTCCTGGCGTGGGCCAAGGCTGTGGCGTCCATGGCGACCAGCAGCGGCAAGAACACCACCTCCTCCTCGCCGTCATCGCCGTGGCTGTCCATGACACGCACAGCAGAGGATAGTCTCAGTTTTTTCATTCCATGGATCGGCTTGTAGCAATCGAGCTTGTAGATCGATCAATTAGCCGGCCTTCCCCAAATTCGTTGCATGGTCAATCTCCTGCGTCCTTGAGCAAGGAAGAAGGAAGTTTAGCAGGGTGTACATCCATATATGCAAGATGTAAGATGGTAAATTTGCATGACAGAGCAAGATATGCTACAGCATACGCCTTGAGATTAATCATTACTAGATGGTACCCCGCGCTTCGCATCGGGCAGGGTAAGCTGTAGTTTAACATTTGCATTGAACAACATGGTGAACTGTAATTTAACCTCTGTGTCGAGTAAGCCATACATACATAGCAGGTGTATTACTTCAGGAGTTAGAGCATTTGAACTAAAAGTGGCTCTGTTTTTTTTGCCTTTATTGCATTCAATATTGATATAAGTTTTGGCCTGAGATCAGTGGAGCTGCATGAAGCAAAAGGGTGAATCTGACGTTGCAGCCTGTTCGTTTGGCTGTGGCTTGTCGTAAACGATCGTAAATTTTCAGCCGAAACAGTATTTTTCTCTCACACAAACCAGCCAGCAGTACTTCTTCACAAACCAGCAACGAAACGAACCAGCCAACCGAACAGGCTAACGTTTACATTTGTTTTGGTGACGAGCAGTTAATACTTACATGAATATAACAGAACCAACATCTCTTTGAAATGTCTACTATCATAACAATTCAGGAAATCATTACATGTCATTAGCTGTATCAGGTAAGGTAAGGAGTGTTCTTTCTGGTTGGAGTAGAAGCACTTCTTTCTTTAAGATCCAGTACCTCAATGCACTATGCTTGTATCAGTTGGCAGTAACACCAACTGTTTTGTGAAGAAATTCAAAAATTGCATTCAAATAATAGCCAAGACTGAACCCGAAGTCTGCATTATCCATTCTGCGTAGATCATTAGCTTCTGACTCTAAGCAGATTTCATCATCTTCCTCTTTGCGGTTCCTCGCAAGAATGGGATGTGGTTCAAAATTAAAATGTGATGTCATGATATTATAGCACAAATTTCACAAAAGGACAGTACGATTCCGAGAAGATCAAATGCTAACCTTCTTTTCCTCAATATGTGCAAACAATTGCTGCCTGTAGGTACCGACTCATTTTTTGCACTGAACATACTGGTAGGTAGGAACCAACTACAGCAGCTTATTGAAACTGGATACATGAACCCAAAAACATCACTGTACTTTTTGCAAGACTACACAATATTGCAATTTTTCTATAGGAACAGAAAACATTGTATGAGTCCCTGATTATGAATCTCTGAAAATCTCAGGCAGAGTTGCTAAAAGACCTAAAATAAGGTCGATTGACTAATAGTAACCCAATAATGGGTGGCAAGCACAGACAAAGTTCAAAAAGGCGACGCTCCGCCTAGGCGCGACTAGTCGCTAGTCGAAGGGTGCCTGCCTGGCCTATGGGGGTAGGCGGACATCTGGGCGCTAGGCGGCGCGGAAGCGGACGTAGAGGGCGAGTGCGCGAAAAATTGCCGCAGCGGCCGAGCGCGCGAAAACAGGCGGGAAGGATAAGAGGGAGAGGACGCACTTCCCGCCTGCCATTTGCTCCTCCCCGCCGGGCGCTCCCCTCCCGCCGGACAACCTCCCCGCCGGCGCCGGTCGTGCTCGTCCCCGCCTGGAAGGTCGTCCCCGCCGGTCGTGCTCGTCCCCGCCTGGCCCGCTGGCACACCCCTCCCGCCCCAGCCGCCAAGGTCAGTCCCCCTGCTCCTCTCCCCTGCTCGAAGCTCCCCTCCCCTGCTCCTCTCCCCTGCATACTGAATGACTGAAGTGATTCAAGTGAATACTGAATGAATGGATGGATACTGAATATATTCTCTTCTGTGAATAATGAATGAATGGATGGATACTGAATCTGTCTTTTGTGATTGCCTGATTGAATAGGCATACTACAACCCGCCTCAACAAATTGATCTATATTCAATTCAACTCCAAGCTGATTAATAAGAAAGAAAAGATTAAGTTAAAGAAGATCAGTAATGTTCTCGTCTAATGATACAACTGAAGCTCAAGGCTTTTTGCATGAGAATAGAGATGATTGTGCATTAGTTGTCTATAGAAATGAGGAAGAGGAGATGGAAGGTACATGGATATCTTGGTCTGTTATTGGAGATGCATTGGGAGCAGAAGAACAACTTGAGCTGCGTAGAAGTGCAAGAGTGAGACAGCTTTACGAAGGAGAAGAATTTGAGTCCGAAGAAGAAGAGTTTGATGAAGATGAGGATGATTATGTGGAACCCTATTATTGAAGAAGAAAGATGATATGGTAGTGGGGCCTTTTTATCATGTCATGGTTTATCTTTTATGATGCATTCATGTATGTCTTAAACCTATGAACTGCTGCTGTGTGACTGTGTTTTTCTTCTTTTGTGAGAACTATGTGCTAACAAGACATTTATTTATGAATTGTGTTGTGCAATTGTACTGTTGTCCTGCCCACATGTTTGTGCTTCAAAATTTGTAATTACTAGCTGCTGATATGGTCCATAGCACACCCCAGTTATCCGAGACTTGGGGAAATCGACCCTGCTTCCGCGAGCACGCCAGAGAGCCCGCCGCCTACCTCTCCGGCTGCCGTCGTCCAGGAGAGAAGCTGCCACTGCCATCCCCGCGTGGAGGGAGAGCTGCCGCCGACCTCTCCGGCCGCCGCCGCCGAAGACTTCCTCTTCGGCCAGCGCCCGAGGAAGGTGAATCCGGCCTTGCCGTCTAGACTACTTTGATTTTTGCATCCATTTTTTATGCTTTCGAGTTCGCCCGACCTCAAACTTTTTTCGTCCTTCGCCACTGGATGCTAGCCCTAACACCAAAATCCTTCAACCAATAAACGCATTTCAGTTCCCACAATCAATGAGAGCACGCCAATATACTGAGCCTGTTCTGTCAAAAGAGAGCTAAAATTCAGAAATTCCCACTATTACTTTGTTATTATTAATTTAGCTTAGTGACTTGTTATTTTGAGCCTGCGGAGGCTCGTAACCTTACCTGGTAAAATCACCCCTGCACAGCCCAGCTTGCCTAGGATAATAACCAGAAAATGCTAAACATGAGAATAAGGTGCATAAAGTGGTAAGAGAGCTCATAAATTGGTTTTGCCTAGGCTATGGAAGCAAAGCAAATGTATTCCACCAAGTCTTTATATAGGTGGCTGGCTTATCAGGGTGCTTCTGATCACCAATTGCAGAAGATGTGGAAACTTAAGGTTACAGACTACTCACTAGACACGGGATGACAGATGGGTGCTGCCCGATCTGTTCTCAACAAAAAAAAAATATCATCTTTTGTTTCATTGTCCTATGGCAAAATTTGTCTGGTCTCTTATAAGGGAGGTAATGCGATGGGATTCTTTTCCTATATCAGTATACCAATGATTTACTTGGGAGTTTCTTTTGATGCTAGTGGCTAAAGAACTTCTTTCAGTTACCACTTTATGCAGCTTATTTTCATGTTTAGCTTTTTCTGGTTATTATCCTAGGCAAACCGGGCTGTACAGGGGTGATTTTACCAGGTAAGGTTACGAGCAGTGGCGGAGCCAGGATTTCACAGCTGGGTATTCCGCGTACATAAAAATTTTCGATCTAAATGTGCAATAGTAACAAGCAAAGTACAAGGTCTAAACATAGTGGCATAGGTTCTTCAAAGTAATAAGCGCACATGAGAAATGTACATAGTGAGCCGATAAAGTTTTGACAATTCATCTGACATTGCTGTGCTAGTGTGCTCACCTTGCTTCAACAACCTTCAAGGCTCAAGGCCTCAAGCAGCAAGCCAGAGCCGAACCGTGGCCATCGCGGTCTGCCGGAGCGTTGGGCTCGCCGCCGCCCGCCGGAGCTGGGACGCTAGGGCTGGGCGCAACCGCGCCCACTCCCGCGCAGGTCGCGCTCGGCCTCTCGTGAAGCGCCGCAGCAGGCAAGGGAAAGGCGATGGCGAGGGTAGGGGGCTTCTTGGCGGCGTGACGCCGTGCACCCGTGCTTTCGCGAGGCTCGCCGTCATGAGATGCCCGATGGGATCCTTCCTTCCGCCCTTTGCTCTCTCGGCTATCTCTGCGCCGTTCCTCGCTGCCTCCAGACGAGATTGGTGCGATCTGGCGGCAGCTGTGAAATGGCTCGCTCTTTTTTTACTTTGGTGGGGTGATAATCGGTGCTTTCTGTTGGGCTTTGGGCCAGATTTGCAACATCTAGCAACTATACAAGTTATACCATTATACGTATACATATATGTATTTGTGTTTGTTTCAAAAATCTTGGGTATTCCATGGCATACAGGGGAATACCCCTGGCGCCGCCCCTGGTTACGAGCCTCCGCAGGCTCAAAATAAGTCACTAAGCTAAATTGATAATAACAAAGTAATAGTGAGAATTTCTGAATTTTAGCTCTCTTTTGACAGAACAGGTTCGGTATATTGGCGTGCTCTCATTGATTGTGGGAACTGAAATGCGTTTATTGGTTGAAGGATTTTGGTGTTAGGGCTGGCATCTAGTGGCGAAGGACGAAAAAAGTTTAGGTCGGGCGAACTCGAAAGCATAAAAAATGGATGCAAAAATCAAAGTAGTCTAGACGGCAAGGCCGGATTCACCTTCCTCAGGCGCCGGCTGGAGAGGAAGTCTTCGGCGGCGGCGACTCTCCCTCCATGCGGGGATGGCAGTGGCAGCTTCTCTCCTTGCTCGCGAAAGCAGGGACGACGGCGGCTGGAGAGGTAGGCGGCGGGCTCTCTGGCGTGCTCGCGAAAGCAGGGTCGATTTCCCCAAGTCCCGGATAACTAGGGTGTGCTATGGACCGCTCTTTGCGGCACCTGGACGTGGCACCGCTGAAAGAAACTCCGGGTGGGCTGGCCCAGTAGACATTTGAAAAAATGATTCGGCTGAATCCAATGTTTCTGTTCCCACTCGTACTGTACGTTGCGTGTAGGATTGGGCGTTCGATTCGTTCGGTTTGGTACTTTCCGTGTACAAGAAATTTCGGATCTCAAGAACTGAGCACCGAATCGGT